TTCCTATGTTGGGATTCCACCATGTTCCTCAGCTCCTCTATTTTTTTTATTTGTGTCTGCTCTAGATTTATTAATCATGTCTTGCACTGTGGGCACGATCTCTGCTATTATCTGAGAAATTATTTTTTATTTCATTTTTTCCAGATCCTCTTTTGTTGCCAGTTCAGGGAGTCTGGGTGGTTGAGTATCAGATTGTTCCATCTTGTTTCCCTTTGGGGTTGCTTTAGGTGATCCGGAAGTCTGGTTTTGATACTTGTTCACATGTCTTCTCATTTCCACAGTGTGGGGATGGTAGGGGGCTGGCAGGGGGGCAGGGATGTGTGCTGCTGGTACCCCGGAAGGTTCACCTTCTTCATGTTTGAGGAGGCTCTATCCTCCAGTGCTGGGGGCAGTGGTATGGCAGCCCGGAAGGTTCACCTCCTTGGTGCTGCTCTGCTCTATAATTGTAGTCTTAAGTACAAAGAAATAACTAGATAACAAATATTATGATGTATAGTTCAGCTTCCTTTTGTCTCCTAATCAGAGAGGAAAATGAATTACACTGATCATATACTGTGTCATTTGCAGAATTCTTTCATACACAAAATTTTATGGTGGAAGTACATTCATTGGTCTAAATTTATTTAGTCTCTTTTTATTTTGTATTCAATAGAGAATGTAAAAGAATTTAAAATGAATTCAGTTTATAAATGAAATTTCTAAAACATAAATATATGATACCAATAAAAAGTGAAAAATCTTTTTCAGTAAATATGTTCTCTTAATATAACCTCAATAGTTACATGAAATGCTTGTTTATTTCTTAAAATTTTAGTGCATGACCTTAAAGGAGTTCAAAAAACACACATACAATTAAGGTACACAATTGTCAATAACTATTTAATTTTTGTATAGATGAAATATTTGGTAATGACTTTATAAATGAATACTAAGAACTTCTCTTGAGATCTACAGATTAAGCTTCTCTGTAGGAATACAAGATAAATGCCTTAGGATTTCTATAAGTTCTTTTGACTCTACGTTCTTTGTATGAATATACGTTAAAATGTTTCTGCTAATCAGATAAGTTATTTTTTAATATGTTATGTTAAAATCCCTCATTTAATAAATCCTCTAACTTTAAAATAGGTACAAATAATAAGCTTTTTTATTTCTAAGAAAGATACAGCTGCAATTCTTCTGTGAAAGTGGACAAATACTCTGTGGTATTTGTTTTTGTTTTTTTAACTGAACTTTAGTTTGAGGTAACAATAAATTCATACGAAATTGTTAGAAACAACAGAATGATTCTTAGGACCCTTTTCAGCATTCCTCAGCAATGATATCTTACAAAATCAGAGAAATATCACAGTTGTGCTATCAGCATTGCTATAGTAAACATACAGAACATTAGGCTCCCGCCTGCTGCCCTTTTAGAGACACAAATTCTCTCTTGCTTTCACCCCTCTCCTTATATCCCAGCAACCACTAGCTTGCACTCTATTTCTATTATTTTGGAATACTGTGTAATATTCTGAAAATATAGTAAAATGGAAACACTCAGGATATGTTCTTTTGGGATTGGATTTCTTTTATTGCCTAACCTAAACTGCAGATATATCCATCTCTAATTCATAATTAAAAGGAGCTTTGCATTAAGGTGATCTCTTAGATTGCGAAGCAACTGGTGAGTGATGATGACAATCATGATTCTGTCAATGGAAGTAATTTTTAACTTTCATATACTATATATATAAGAGGTTTATAGAAATAAATTAATTTAGTCACCACAAAATTGCAAAAAGATAGGTTCTGTTATTATTTCTGTTTTACAAATGACCAACTCAACACAAAGAAAAGCCAAATTCTCTAAGCATGTAACATATACAGTTTAAAAATCATTTTACCTTATTTTTTTCTACTATAAGCTAGACGATTTGGCTACTTAAGAGCAAAATCATGATGTAAGCATTGTAGATTATGTATACCTTAGAAATGAAGATTATATAACATGAAAAATTACATATGATATAATCTTGAGTGAAAGTAGTCTGAATACAAAATGGTACATTCATACTGCCTATGACTATGTAGAAGTCAGTTCTGCACAAAGTCACATACTAGGAGCTATGGTACAGCACGGTATGGGACCCACTTCTCTTCTAAGCAATTCCCACACACATACCCACTGTGTATGTATGTGTTCTCTCTTCAGTGAGAGGCTGAGTTGAGCATATTAATTACATGCTTCTGTGATTCAAGCTCCTGGGCTCCCCACTGAAGCCCTGTCACTTAGCTTCTACCAGCCACTATTCTGAACTAAAATCCTAGAAGCCCTTAGGTCACCTAGTTCCAAATCCAAAGGCTCTGTTTTTACTCATTCTCCATCTTTTCACAGCCTAGATGGTTCTTTACCTTTTCCTTTTTTATCTGAAACATCATCACCTTCACTGGGATAGGAAATGTTCCATTTACCTTTTATTCTCAAAATTTAGAGACTTTTCAAATTACGCTCAAATGTCAGCTGAATGAATGGCACTCCCTAGCAGCTCTTTCCCTTGGTGCCTAAATAAAGACAGCACTCATGCTGCTTCATCCTCTCGTCCTTGGCAATTTCATCTATTTCAAAAATTGTCATATATATTTTCCTCTACATGGATGGCACTTAGATATCACATGTACTGCTTAATTTGCAGATCCTATTTCTCAAAGACCAGCTAAACATCTCCACACATATATCCTGACAGCATCAGTTCTCATCACTCACACAAAACCATAATCCTTCCCACAATCAACTTCCTACTTCCTTGTTCTCTCGCTGGCATCCCATTTTGCCCCAGTTCTCCATGAATGAAATCCAATGTTAAAGGTCAAGACTGTCAAATACAGTTTGATACTATTGCTTTCCCAATCTTCAGCATCTCCTCTAGGTTCCAGAAGAACAGGAACTCATCCTTACTCCCACCTGTGCTCATTCTTTCAACTATGGAATCTGAACTCAGTTCATTCATGTGGTCTTTCCCATTGACTTCTAATCAGATATAACTTGCTCACTTTAAAAACTTCATACTTATTTTTCAGTTGCAAAATGGTAATAACTATGTTTGATATCCAGAGCCCAAAATAAGACAAGGGCTGAGTTTTGCTCTTCTTTGAATCCCTTGAGAAGTTCAGAACATTGGAACTGTTTAAGGGGTGCCTACCAAAATAAAGACACTTAAATCAATAAATATTGTATATGTAGATGTTTGTAAAAATCAAAGGTCTATAGAATTAGTCTGAATTTGAAATTACTAATTGTTTCCAAAATCAGCACCTATGGTAGAGCTGAGCAGTTTTAGAACCTTAAAATTTTGGAATATACAATATTTGGATTCAAGAAGCTGTTTTAAATCATTTATTTGTGATGGAAACATTCTTGGATTTAGAAGTTGGCAGATACAGTGAAAAGCTTTTTAGTTGACTGAAATAAAAAAAATCAAAACACATTTTAGCACATGCACTTCCCTTATAAAAACAAATTGCCTAAAAGCAAAGCACAGCAGTTTGTGCACAATGAGTTTGTGCCTCACTAGCAGCAGCAGGAGATGCAGGGAGAATGACAGGAACAATTTGCATTTCTATAGCTCCTTTGTATACCCACCTTTCAATAGCATTTCACAAAGTGGTAAATATCATGGCTTCAAAGTAACAGTGACAGGAAGTCTATGCAAGGATAGGCTGGACTCAGGGTGGTTAGATACAGAGCCCTAGGAGAACAGTAGTGGTTCCCACACAGCTATACATAGGAGAGCAATTAATGGGTGCTGGCTAAGAGAAGGGGAACCTGTGTCCTTCACCATCTTCCAAGCCATCTATAGGGAAGGACTTTTCTTTCTTGCCTTTACAATCACTTCACTACACATATAATATACCTGCTGATTTTCTCAACAATCACTGGTCTCTACTTCTAGTTGATATAATACTGTTTATCAGTTCCCTAGCCAGTTCCTCACATCCCTACAAAAATCACTGCTTCAAAAGAAAAATACACAGAGAAGAAAAGTGGGCAGTGCACCAGTGAAGCAGCAGCCTCCTCAGAGTGCTCTGGAAGCGCTGGGCAGGAGAGAAGAGACCACTGCTCATTCTGTAACATGTTGGGGGCTCATTAAGACCAACTTTACTGAGCCTTGCAAAAACTACACACAAAGGTGCTCTGTTGTTCTGCTCCCAGTTTCCTTCTCCATCAGCTCAGCAGCTGTACAACTTTGATTCTGAACCTGGTCAGAAAAGTTCTCAGAGCCACTGGCAACAAAACCAGCCTGTACCTGCTCTACTTCTCATAGCAGCAGCAGCCTTGACTGTCCTCCAGGGGTCACAGTCTGGTTACAAATCCCTCACAGTGCAGGGGCTGAGCAGACTGATTGGGAACAATTTATTCAAATCCTTCTTCATTAAAATTCAAATGGAATAAGTAAGCTAGAAATTGAACAGACCCTGAAATTGTGCCTTGCTGCTCTTGTAGTCAAGTAAACATTTATTCACTAAGCACAGCTCGTGGGTTCTCTCTTTCTCCTCCTCACTTACAGTTGCTCCTCCACTCTTTCCTGCTTGCTGTTTCAATTCATAATTAAGAAGGTCAGAATTAATGAAGCAGTGTGGAGTAAAGTTCAAGGAATCCCCAGGCACTATTTATTCTATTAGATCTTGGGCACGAATGTCAGATTGGCAGCATAAGCCACATTAACAATGAGGCTTGCTACATCCCAGGAACAACCCACCCAGGGAGACTCACCTGCACTGTCAAGTCATTCCAAAGCTCCCTCCCTGCGAAAATCACACGCAGCTGGTCAGCTGGAACCCCCTGTTGCTTAGCAACCACTTCTTTGAGCTGGAAGATGCTGGCATCAGAATCTACCTCCACTGGGAAACCATGGCTGGAGTTGAACCGGACAAACACTGACCAAGAAATTGGAAAGGGAGAAAAAAAAAATCATTACTCAAAGCCCTTAAATGGCAATCACAATATGTCTGAACCAACTTACCCCTCATCTTCTTTTCAATGAATGGCATATATTTTCTTTCACTTATAACTGAAAACTTAATAGTAAAGCAATATTTGGAGAAAACCGAGTTTCCTTTTCATATATTAGTAAGTGACCCATGAACCAAAATTCCATTCTCCCTTTGACGTCCATCTTGGGAAATAGGACTCAAGCAGAACACTTGCTTGATTGGAATAGTGAGATTCCCATGAGTTTCTCAAAGAGATTCAGCTCTGACAGCCTGAACCAACTCTCAGTTCCTTCAGAGTGGCCCTGAATTAAAATAAAAGGCAATTTGCTAGAATCCAGGAAGGCAGCGAGAAAATTCAAGTGACTGTATGGATTAGAGGGAAGTCCATGGGGCCATGTCTAAAGCTCTGGGCTTTGGAGGTCCTGCCCAAAAGTGTCCACTGGTTCTATGGAGATAATTATTTGTATTTCGTTTTACAATTAATGACTTTATTTCTCTTACTGGAACCACATTTCCTATAGGCTGGAACCTACAGTCTTTTTTGTTTACTGTCATTTCACTTCAATTGCCATGCTACCTTTCATACATGCCCAATGTTATTATACCTTATATGTTTTTTGTATGCCCTTCAATGATGTGGTCTGGTCACTATTATTACCCTCATATAATGAAACTGTGAATAAAGGCCCAGAGAACTGTGATCACTTTCCTAAGGACATTAACTTCTTTGTAAAATCATAACTCATAATCAGTTTGATCTTAAAGCTCATCCCATTTCCAAAGCCTTTCAGAAGAAATGTCCATATTCCTTTTCTTTATGATAAGAATGATCAACAACAGCAACAAACAGGCTTTCTAACATAATTCAGATATTCTTTACACAGCTGAGCAGTAGAAAAATGGGGTTAAAAACAAACAAACATAAAAAAAACCCAAGAAACAAACAAAACCAAAGCTCCAGGGAGGAGCTAAAACCAAAGAACAAGGAACAATAGAAATATGACACATGAAACGATAAAGGCACCACAATGAGAACAGGTGGCACAGAAGACAACATAAGAGCAAAAGCCCAGTATATTCTACCAACATAGAAAATATTTAGAAAAAGCAAAGACTGAAAGTGACCAAAGGAACCCAATAATGAAAATTAATGACAAAATACCCAGTGTAGTGAAAAGGCTACTTTTGATGTACTTTTAAGTAGATTTCATTCTACACCTTTGAAAGTAGAGAAGAAAAAATAAAAATGTATTGGGACCCTTGACGCATTTTCACAGCATCCTCAGAGCAAAGGCAGTAAGACAACCAATTCATCAGGTAAGGCATAGGACAAGAAAGGGGCTACAGAGGATAAAGACATGGTCCATTCCAGTTCTAAACCAGATTTTCTATTACTATGAAGAGATTTTTCGAAAAGCAAATACCATAGCTGGGGATACAGGAGAAAGCAGCTGGAAACTATACAAATGCTATTACAACAATGGATGAAAATCTAGGAGATTCCACGTTGATGAGATTTGTCCTGGGGTATAAGTCATAGGAATTCTACTGCAAAGGTAAGAACTATAAAAACATTAAGGAAAATAAAACCAAAATCTATACCAGGAATTTTGCACAAATTCTCTAATGATCAATACCCTAAAGCTTTGTTATAAACAGAGAAATTGAAGTTTTAAAGTTACCTTCAATATGGGTAAATCATATAAATAAAACAGAAATGAATATTTTTGAACATTAAGTCTGAGAGATAATGTAAATGTATGATGGAAAGATTAACCAAATGGTTAGTAAGTATTTGGTGAACTAAAATATTTGGATGAATATGAAGAAATGTCTTAAGTGAGTGACCTGCTCAATAATCAAAGGTCATATGAAAAATGACTACTGTATTTTCAGTGGGGTCTCAATCTTTTTCTGACCAGTGTGAGAAATGTGTTGTGTCCAATCTGTATTAGCTCCTTAACTCCAGCCATGATTCCCCAAAGAGGAGAGAAGGCAAGCATCTAATGCTTTCCAAATGTCTTTAGAACAAGCAAAAGAGAAATTTGAATTCTGGTTATACCATTTGTTAATTTTATAATTTAGGACACATCATCTGCTTGCTTGTCTCTTATCTTCCATATCTACTAAATTCAAATAATGTATATACCTTTAAATGCCTGTTACATAAGATTTATTGAGATTATAGATACATTAGAAAATTTCAGAAACAGTCCTTAGTGCTGTGCCTATATTTTCGGTACAGGGCAAGTCTGTGCTCCAAAAACAGTTCCCAAATATTAAATCACCCAGGGGAGGTAGAGCTAAGCAACACTCATTGTTTGTATTGTAACTAAAGCAGATTAGATGAAATCACAAACTCCACATCTCCGATCCCACTATAACTTTTCTCTTCTTGTCATATTTGATCTTTCAGAAATATTAAATACAATAGGCTCCTGTTCTTATAGTATTTCTTCCCTTGACACCCCCCACCCCCAGTTTTCTCCTAGAATGCAGGATACAC